CGGGGCTTGGGACTTTCAGGTCTAAACCCTGAACCCGAACCCAAAAAAAACCCTCAATCCTAAACCCTAAACCCTAAACCCTAAACCCTAAACCCTAAACCCTAAACCCCAACCCTGAGTTGAAGCCTCGGGCTGATGAGACTTGAGGTTAGGGACTGAAGGTTTAGGGTTTAGGGTTTAGGGTTTAGGGTTTAGGGTTTAGGGTTTAGGGTTTAGGGTTTAGGGTTTAGGGTTTAGGGTTTAGGGTTTAGGGTTTAGGGTTTAGGGTTTAGGGGTTAGGAAAAGGATCCCTGACTAAAACCTTCTTACACAAATGAGGGAATATCGGAGCCCCCAACTTGAAATATCCCGAAACCCCTTCCTAGCAGGAAGGGCGCCAGGGCCTTGAAGCTTATCTGCTTATAGGGGCTTAGGACCACTAAATTGCCCCCAAAGTACCCTGGCCTGGAGGTAGTGGGGTTTAGGGCTTGGTGTTTGAGGGTTGGGAGAGCGGATCTAGGGTTTAGGATTTGGGGATTTGGGGGCTGGGGCTTCCCGAATGTTCCAGCCGATCTGCAAGCAGGGAGACGGTGAGTTTGGACTGCACTGGCTTTAGCGCCAGCTCTCAGACCGGGTGGCGTCTTAGGACCTGGCAGACCTAGCACTGGTCCAGCACCCCCCACACCAGCAGTCACGAAAACTTACATGCACATCTGCAACCCCAGCAGGCCTTTCCGAGTCAGGCACACCGACTGTATGACATCATCCGCTGAAGCTGCTAAGGATCCATAAGGATCCGTACGCCGGCTCCCAAAGAAGAGCCCTTGATCGGCGGCACACGCCGGAGCGTGCACAGGAACCGCTCGCTGAGCCGACTGGAGAGCCCTGGCCCTAGCTGTGTGCACGACCGAACCGAGTAGGGGTGCCACATGTAGACGAATGAGAGTTTTGCGGTAACCCCTTTGTTCGGTAACTTCTTTTTAAGTATTCCGTGATATAGCCTGCGATACAGCCGCGGTTAGCGATTACGCGCCAGTCACGTGATCGCTAATCACGGCTGTATCACAATGTAAACTAATTGCTTTTAGAGGTTACCGGCACGCGGGGTTGCTGGGCCACTCTCTTTATAGACGCCATCACGCAGCAAGCAAGCAGAAGAGAGCACCAAGACATGGGAACAGCCTGATGCTGGCAAGAGACCTGCACTGGCCTGCACAGGCCCAGACAGAGTGGCTAGTTACCTTCAACGGGATTATACGTTTGGGGTTAGGGCTTTCGGGTTTTCCACTCAAGGCACCCCGGAAACCCTAAACCCTGTAAAGCCGAAACCCTAAACGGTTCAGGGTTTAGGGGTTTAGGGTTCAGGGTTTAGGGTTTAGGGTTTAGGGTTTAGGGTTCAGGGTTCAGGGTTTAGGGTTTAGGGCTAGGGTTGAAGAAATAGGGTTTGGGGATTAAGGTTTAGGGCTCAACACTCAAGCCCTCAACCTCCAGACCCTGAACAGTGCCACAAGGGCCAAGGCACGCTGGTCAGCAAAGCTGCCGAGGGTGGAAAGGGCAGCTGGCGCCGGTTCCTGCTACCGCCGAGGGTTCCCTTGAGGGTTCCGGGTTAAAGGTTTAGGGGTTTAGGGTTTGGGGTTTGGGGTTTGGGGTTTAGGGTTTAGGGTGTAGGGATTTGGGGTCCCTAAACCCTAAACCCCCGGAAAACCGCCAAAGCTCTCGTGTTCCGCATACCAGGCCAGGACAGCGACATGGAGTCAGGTCTTCTTAGGTTGCTTAGGGTTTAGGGTTTCGGGCTTAGGGGGGTTTAGGGGATGTAGGCGTCTAGGGGATTCAGGGGGGGTAGGGGGTTTAGGAGGTTTAGGAGGTTTAGGAGGTTTAGGAGGTTTAGGAGGTTTAGGAGGTTTAGGGGGTTCAGGGGGTTTAAGTGGCTCACCCCGTTCGTCTCGATCGTAGGAAGAAAATCTCTTGAGAGGGCGCGAGTTCGGAGTTTCGTCTTCAGGGCTACCCTAAACCCGAGGCCCGAAACCCTAAACCCTCATAAACTAACCCGAAACTCTAACCCTAAGTAAACCCGAAGCCCGAAACCCTAAACCTTAAGCCCTAATTAACCCTCCTCCCCCCTCCCCAATGCCGCCGTGCCTGAAGATCTGGGTTTCCTGATGCGCTTAGGGAACACGGTTTACCCTAAACCCTAAACTCTAAACCTAAACCCTAAACCCGAAATTACGGGATTAAGCCCTCAGCGTCAGGAATTCTGGATTGAGGTTAGGCTTACTCTTGCTTAGTATGGGAATTCGAAGGTTGGAGGGTCCCTATATCATCTCTTCAAGGGAAATAACTGAGTTTGTGTAGGGTTCTGGGTCCAGGGCTTTGGGAACCTATTTCCCTAACTCTAAACCCTTATACCCTACCAGGAACTAGTCATGTGCGTTAGATATTAGATGCAATGTACTTTTGCAGTTCAGGGCTTGTTGCTTAGGGCTTATGATTTGGGGCTTAGCGTGCGCACAGCTAAAACCCAAGCGACCCAACGTTCCATCTGGGACATGCTTGAATGCAAGCTTTGGGGGGGGGAAACCTACATCCGCTTCAATGCGGTTAGGTGTCCCAAACCCTCAGACGCTTCACAAGCTGTGAGGGGTTGAGGGGAACCTTTCTAAGCCTTTAGGAGTTTAGGGGTCTTCAGACTCCTTCCTAGGAGGGGGGATCCGGCTCTTAGGTTAGGGTAGGCTTCGGGGTTGAAAGGTGGGCACATGCTGAAGGAGACCTAACAAGCCCTTCCTATTCGGGGTCCCATGCACCTAGATAGGGACTACTTGGGCCTTAAGCTTCCCCCTGTTTAGGGATTTTTGGGCCCAAGTATGTAGCAATGAGGTAACATGGACCTTTCGGCTTCTCGCAGGACAAATCGAGTTCCACGGAAATCAATCCAAAGGAGCGACTCGTTCGTTGCCGGCGCTGTGAGACGTGCCACCAACAGGCTGCGGAGTGAGTAGGACCATACAATAAATAGCCTTAAACCCTACTTGGAGGTTCATGGTACTTATTCATCAGTTGCAACTGTACACATAACCCGCTTATGTTCCCCCTTAAGTGCCCCAATAAGGGTTATAAGTATACAAGTATAATTTGGTTAAAAAGTACTATGAACCTCCAAGTAAACCCAAACCTAGACCCTAAACCCTGGACCATGAAGCCCCCTACGCTTGCCCCTGACTTACAACCCCAGTTTTGACTATACACCTGTCCTGTCCAAGCGAGGTTGAGAACTTGGAGCTGCCAAACCTGGTGTCAAAGCCAAATCCTAAACCCTAAACCCTAAACCCTAAACCCTAAACCCTAAACCCTAAACCCTAAACCCTAAACCCTAAACCCTAAACCCTAAACCCTAAACCCTAAACCCTAGACCCTAAACCCTAAACTGCCGAGAGCGCCGCTGTCCATATGCATGGGCGCTCGAGGCTTCGACCGAGGTCCCCGACCGAGCGTCTCCACAGAACGGTGAGGGAGGGTAAAGCCTCCCGGTAGACGAGACGGCAGTGACTGGCTACGCCTCAGACCTAGGGCGTCAGCCCTAATATAATTAGGACCCCAAACCTACGACCGTTGATGTCTTTTAGTGTTTTTTACGGGGGTCAGGGGGGTACCCCCCGGGGGGGTCTTGGGGCCGGGCTGGCAGATTCCGGGGACCCCCCCTCCTTCTGGGCTGGTGTAGGGGGCAACCTGCGCCTGGGACCCCCTGAAACCCCCCTGGGACCCTTCTGGGACCCCCTGGGACGCCCCTGGGACCTCCCTGAAACCCCCCTGGGAGCCCCCTTCGACCTCCTCAGACCCACTGTCCCCCGTAGGACCCCCCTTTTCGACCCTTTGGGAGCCTCCTGGGACCCCGCCTCTGGAACCCCTTTCTGGGACCCTCTGGGACTTCTGGGACCCTCTCCTGGGACCCCCTCCCTGGGACCCCCCTCCTGGGACCCCCCTCCTGACCTCCTGGGACCCCCTTGAATCAGGGACCCCTAAACTGACCTTCTTCGTGGCAGAGTGCTGCGTTTGCCGGACCGCCCAGCAGACTTCTTGGGACCCCCCTGCGACCGCATTTCTGGACCCCCCTCAGCCTGGGTCTTGATTTCGACGCGTAAGCAGGGGCCGGCCAAGGCCCCTGCTTCCCCCCGGGCTGCGTGGGTCGGGGTTTGCCAAGACCCGCACTGAACATTTGACGGTTTTGGGCACCCCTCCAGTTCCGTGAAAGCTCCAAGAAGCCTACGAGCCGCTGACAGGCTCCACAAAGCTCGGGAGGCCCCACCCTGCTCTTTCTCTGTCAAAAGCAAGAAAGCCCCCCTTGAGGGGGGTTTGGGGGGTGAACCCTAAACCCTAAATGAGAATAGTTTGGGTGGTTGGGGTGGGACTACATGCTAACGCAAGCGAGCGGCCCGGGTGCTTTTAGCACCAGCGAGCTTCCCTTCTATACACCCTAAACCCTAAACCCTAAACCCTAAACCCTAAACCGTAACCCTAAACCCTAAACCCTAAACTCTATGTAAGCCCTCCATGTCTGGAAAGAGCTGGGCTTGGGATCTGCATCAGAGCGCTCTGAGCCCATCAGTTCGCTTGCTACAGTCGGCTTCTTGAAAAGCCACGGTGAAACATCCTCATAATGATGGGAACCACTCTTACTTGGGATCCCTAAAACCCTGAAACCTAAACCCGAGGTACACAAGAGAAAAGGTTGTAACTTAGCTGAGTATGAATTCGGGCACATCCCGACATAAACCCCAAACCCTAATTAAACCCTAAACCCTACACCTCCTGTATGGTTCCCACTGTTTGCGAAGATCGCCCCCAACCACTTCCCTGCCTTGTCAACACCGGCTCTCTTGAGAAGAAGCACTAGGTTTTCGGGTTTAGGGTTGAACCTGTTTGGGGTTTAGGGTTTAGGGTTAGGGTTTAGGGCTTAGGGATGGCATACAGCATGCCCGTCGTGTCCACAAGCTCCAGGAAGTGGGGCCCAGATCCTCAGCCAAGGACTAGGGCGTCATAGTGCTGCCGCCCCTGGCATGAGAGGCTCTGAGATGCTTAGGGTTTAGGGTTTAGGGTTTAGGGTTTAGGGTTTAGGGTTTAGGGTTTAGGGTTTAGGGTTTAGGGTTTAGGGTTTAGGGTTTAGGGTTAAGTGTTTAGGGTTTAGGGTTTAGGGCTTAGGGCTTAGGGCTTAGGGCTTAGGATTTTGTGTCTAGGGTCTATGGTTTGGGACTTTGGGGCGTTGGGGTTCTTCAACCTCCCCGAAAAATTGGAAATTTGTCTTGTCGGACCTGCTCGTCCTAGCCACAACTCGAAATAGTAGCCCAGTATAGCCCAGTAACAATATTATAATAAGGGCACCTTTTTTGGGGTTGGCTACTTTAAACTATAAGGGGGCCTAGAACCCCAAGAAAGGGAAGAGGGTATTACTGGGCCACCAAGCCTGGTAGAGAGCGGGACCACGCGGCCCGCTGACCCGAAGCGAGCGATGCGCGAGAAGCCGCCCTTGCCGGGCTCATAAACTTCGATGCAGACCTGCTTCGGAGGGTTTAGGGTTGAGGGTTGAGGGTTTAGGGTTTAGGGTTTAGGGTTTAGGGTTTAGGATTTAGGGTTTAGGGTTTGGGGTTTAGGGTTTAAGGTTTAGGGTTTAGGGTTGAGGGTTGAGGGTTGAAGGTTTAGGGTTTAGGGTTTAGGGTTTTGTAGGGCTTAGGGTTTAGGGTTTAGGGTTTAGGGTTTAGGGTTTAGGGTTTAGGGTTTTGGGTTTAGGGTTTAGGGTTTAGGGTTTAGGGTTTAGGGTTTAGGGTTTAGGGTTTAGGGTTTAGGGTTTAGGGTTTAGGGTTTAGGGTTTAGGGTTTAGGGTTTAGGGTTTAGGGGTTTAGGGTTTAGGGTTTAGGGTTTAGGGTTTAGGGTTTAGGGTTTAGGGTTTAGGGTTTAGGGTTTAGGGTTTAGGGTTTAGGGTTTAGGTTTAGGGTTTAGGGTTTAGTAAGGGCTCCCGACAAAATAGCGGACCCTAAACCGCCTAACCTCTGATTCCGCTGGAGGGCCTTTGATATGGGGAACTGGAGCACCGCGCAGAGACCTCTAAACAGCGAGCCCCAAAAGCCGAATACTGAACCTAAAGGACCCTAAACCCTAAACCGTAATACTGAACCTAATGGACCCGAAGCCCCTCGCCTTCTTTGTCTGGGCGATGACGGCCAACTCGATGCCACCGCCCCATGCTCCCGCAAGGAGATCCTGGACATAGGACGAAAATGGCCTACTTGGAGGTCCACGGTACTTATGAACCAGTTGTAACTTTACTTATAACCCACTTATGAGCCCCCTCAAGTAACCTAACAATATGATGATTGGGCTAAAAGTATAGGTGTAGGGTTGGGTCTTGGCGTGTATTTGCCGTCATGGGCTGTGTCCAAGGAGGTCCTGGACGTAAGCGCGGACGCCGACGTCTGCATCCATCCGGATCCACTCCGACAATGTGGTGTTGAGGATGGGCCTGGGATGGTTTAGCGCTTATAGTGCATATAGCTTGAGGCTTACAAAACCTTACAAAAAAAACTACGCATGGAAACAGCGAAAATAACTCCCATGCTAAACCAGGGCTGTTGTAGGCTCCCAAGGTACATGTTCGGATAGGCGCAAATGATGTCAGCCACATGCCTGCGAAGCGAGCTTGCCGTGCCTCAGCGGGCGTAGCGGACCCTGTGGGGAGGAACAGCTACTTGGAGGTTCACGGGTGGTTAAAAAAATTGGGGCGATGCATCAGGTAGCTAGAGGTATAACTAACAAGCTCACCACACCTTGGGGCACTTCTCGCCCGGCTCGGAACTACCCGTGAACCTTCACGTCATCCCTATCAACCGAAAACCCGAAATCCCGAAAACCCTAAGAGCCTAAAACTCCCACACCCTATAACCCTAAAAGCCTAAAACCCGAATCCAAGCTCCACCCGGGTGCTGCCGTCACCGAGCCCGTAGGACACCGAGTGGTAGAGACAGGAGCCGTCCTAGGGGCGCTAGAAAACATGTCTTCAAAATTCCTTGGGTTCAGGGCTTGTGAAGTCTCTGGGTTTTTGGTGAGTATGAGGGATGAGGTTTCAAAAAAGAGACCAAGAATGCGGCGCCAAGTCAATCCCGGCGTCCCCGGGATGTCGCACCACACGTGCCCGGCTCACCACCTTGGCCGCCTCTGGCTTGTGGGAGGCCACGAGGTGGCTTTTGCCCTTGAAACGCCTTGGCTTTTTAAGGCTCAGAGTTGACGGCAGGTTTCGGGTTTGTGGAGTTTAGGGAGATTATAGAGTTCAAAGTTGAAGGGTTCAAGGTTTAGGGCCGTTTAAGGTTTAGTGTGCGACGGCCACGCGGTGGCCCCGGCCTTGCTGCCATCATATTTCTTCTCCAAGTACAAGCATGCCAAGGGAACACAAAGAGATTGCAACGCACGTCCTTGATTTAGGTGATCCCCCCGCACCCCCGCGTTCTTGACAGTAAACAAATCCTATTTCCGGCAAACGAACCTACTTCTAAGTGCCACATTTTTCAATAGGGGAGGGGAGTAGGGATGCCAGGGCCAGCTGCCACACGAGGCGCCAGGCATCCGGGTGCTTCTCTCTGGGCTTGCGGAAGTGAGGGCAGTGCCTCTTCTCTGGCAACAAGGGGAGTCACATGAAACTAAGCTTGGTCACATCCTCTGCCGCAAAAGAACCAAAACTGGAGGAAAAGAAGAAAACGTTGCAGTATGGCTCGAGCGAGCTTCTCGGTTGCATGTGCTCCGTCGCACTTGTCGCAGCTTACGTTGAGCGGCGGAGATCTCACGGGTGCTGCGAACACGTTTTGAACCGGCACTGCCGCCGGGAGCACTGGCGTCAACGAGGAGGTTGGTATGGCCCATGCACCTCACAAAGCAGTCTTTTCCTTCCCCCGAAACCCTAAACCCTATATAAACCCTAAAACCCAGCCACGAAAACAAACAAAACCCTGTGCCCACGCTGGCCGGCTCTTCTAAAGACCCTAAACGGAAAACTCCCGAAACCACGGGGTTTAGGGATTCGGGTCTGGAAACCCTAAACCCTCATCCCAAGGCTCCTTAAAACCATGAGCCTTGTCCACACCCACGCAAAATTGTTTCGAACGGGGTCTCAACATCGATTTACAGTCTAGGGCTTAGGGTTTAGGGTTTGGGGTTTGGGGTTTAGGGTTTGGGGTTTGGGGTTTAGGGTTTGGGGTTTGGGGTTTGGGGTCTCAATACCAAACCCGGAGCCCTCATCCTGGAACTCAACACCCCGAATCTCGGAACCACTTCAGGACAGCCACTCGCTGGCGGGCCGTAGTAAACAGGGGTCCTCCACCTCAGCTCAAGGGGCTAGGGGCTAGGGGTTTAGGGTTTAGGGTTTAGGGTTTAGGGTTTAGGGTTTAGGGTTTAGGGTTTAGCGTTTAGCGTTTAGCGTTTAGCGTTTAGCGTTTAGCGTTTAGCGTTTAGCGTTTAGGGTTAGGGTTTCGGGTCTAGGGAAGACTCTCTCGGCGTTTCCGGAGATTCTCAATAGACACGGGACCTAAGGCGACATTGCGCCCTCCAGCCCGAGACACCAAGGACGAAACCCCTAAGACGTGAATATCAGCCCTAAACCCTAAGCCCCGAACATCGGCCCACACCCAAGATCCAAAATGTCAGCCCACATCTCGAATCTTAACCCCTATAGCCTACATATCAACCCACACCCCAAACAAGCCAAGCCCCAAAACGACATAAAACAACATGCTTTGTGATCTTGGGTGTAGACACGGTTCATGGTTTTAAGGAGCTCTGGGCTTAGGGTGCCCAGACCCTAAACCCTCAACCCTAAACCCTAAACCGTAAACCCTAACCCCTAAACCCTAAACCCCAAACCCCTAACCCGAAACGGGCTCAAGTTCAGCTGGGCGTAATATGGAGCAGGGAGTGAACGCTGCCGAGGTGCCCCGGGTAATGGTAGAAGTACACAAGCTCCGGCTGCGCGAGCCTTGGAGGGTTTAGGGTTGAGGGTTTTAGGGTTTTAGGCGTTTAGGGGTTTAGGGTTTAGGTTTAGGTCTCAGGGTTTAGGGTTAGGCTTAGGGTAGGTTTCAGGGATACCTAGCACCAGGGACCTGAACCCCAAAAAAAAAAAAAACATCATGAGCCACTCCAAAAAACCTTTTAGATCCTGGTTTGGGGTTTGGGGTTTGGGGTTTGGGGTTTGGGGTTTGGGGTTTGGGGTTTGGGGTTTGGGGTTTGGGGTTTGGGGTTTGGGGTTTGGGGTTGTGTATGGTTTGGGGTGTAGGGCTCGGAGCCTACGATGGCTTATGGTTTCGCACAGGCCGCAGGCCCCAACGTTCAAAAGACAATGCCACTACCAGTGACGAATAGCCGCCCAGCGGGGGTTCTGTGTAGCTTAATAGTACCCTAAACCCTAAACCCTAAACCTAAACCCTTTTCCCTAAACCCTAAACCCTAATTTTGAGTTTAGGGTTTCTCTGCTGCCGCTTTGTAGACCCTGGGACGGACTCTGCCCCTTTCAGCCCTCGGCCCAAGGCCACGACGGAAAGCCACAAGCTTCAATGTGAGCCAAATTGCAGGATCATAGCTCCCACTGTTGATTTCCATAGAGGCTATACTGCAAAAGTAGATAGATACGTAGATAGGTAAACTAAGACCTGAACTGAGAAGCCCTCGAACGAGATGCAGACACATGCATGTCCACACATATGTCCTGCTTTTCTTTTTTCTTTGCCAAAACCTACATGCACTTCAAGTGGTCTCTTCTCTGACTGTTTTCAAGCGTACCTAGGGGCTGCCCAAACCCTGAACCCCAAGGCCCACTGTCAGGTGGACAGGCGACATCGGCTCAGCACGTGGGGGTGACAGCACACCCTCGTTCGCCGGGACTGCCTCCGGACACGTTCAGGTTGCATCCCGAAACCCCAAGACGAAACTTGGCGAAAACCCCGAAAGCCTTCAACCCCTTCAAAATCAAACACTAAAACCTTTAAAGGCTGGCAACCGCACTTCCTAAACACCAAAACGCCGAAAGCCCTGACTAATAAATGCAGACCAGTCCCGGAAACCCCTACACTACCCAAAACCCTTGAGGGACAGGGTTGAGTTTGGGGGTTCCCTCACACCCTGCCCCAAACCCCCAAACCTCCATCCTAAACCCTCAACCCAAACCGTAAAGCCCTAAACCCCCAACCTAAAACCCTAAGCCAGGCCTGGGCCACTGCCTCGTTCTTCGAGCCCTTCCTGCTGCGCTTCTTGCGCCGCTGGGGCATGTCGTCGAAACATGACGGCAATGCCGGCAGGCAGAACATGGCTGGCACGTGAAAAAAAATCTCTCAGAGTTCCGGAAAACCAAAAACCAAAACCAACCTCTGACCTGCCGGCCCTAAAAAAACCAAGCTGGGCTGTGGGGTGAGTCCATGTGAGTGACTTTTTGCACGGTATCGATGCATATATATATATATATATATATATATATATATATATTAGTTTTTTGTATGTGTATATATGTATACACATATATATATATATATACACATAATAAAGATACATATATACATACAGACATACATAAAGAGATAGATACACATATAGAAAAAGATATAGATATAGATATAGGTATAGATATCGGCATAGCTTTGGGTATTTTTTATGCCAGCTGGGACCACTTTGCTTCCCTCAGTGGGCTTAGGACTTAAGCCCTGAGCCGTAGACAATACACCCTAAACCCTAAACCCTAAACCCTAAACCCTAAACCCTCGAGCTGATCCCTACAGGGAATGAAATGCCGGGGCCCTCAGGGACCGAAGGGTGTTGTTGTTCTTGTCTTTAGGGTTTAGGGTTTAGGGTTGAGGGCTTAGGGTTTAGGGTTTAGGGTTTAGGGTTTAGGGTTTAGGGTTTAGGGTTTAGGGTTTAGGGTTTAGGGTTTGGGGTTTAGGGTTTAGGGTTTAGGGTTTAGGGTTTAGGGTTTAGGGTTTAGGGGCCAGGGTTGAGGGTTTAGGGTTTTGCGTTTTGGGTTTTGGGTTTAGGGTTCAGGGTTTCAGGGGTCTAGCATTCAAATGGGGGGGAGAGGCGGGGCAGCCAAGGAACCGTCATGGTGTGATATGCCCGGAAAACTATTTAAAACAAAAAAGAATTATTTACTACCAAAAAGAATTTTAAAAAGAAGCGAAAGGTTGGAGTTCTTGAACCCCCCCTAAAGCTCCTAATCGAAAAGGGAAAAGAAAGGCAAAATCCCCAAAGCACCAAAAGCCCCAAAGCACCTAAAGCCCCTACAAGCCCCAAACCCCAAAGCTGTTCCGGGGCTTTTTGGGGTGGCCTAGGGTTTAGGATTTAGGATTTAGGGTTTAGGGTTTAGGGTTTAGGGTTTAGGGTTTCGGGTTTAGGGTGGCTTGGGTTTTAGGGTGGTTTAGGGTTGAGGGGTTTAATTTAGGGGTTCGCGGGGTTTACGGGTTTAGGGCTTCTAGGTTCCTTCACAGCCATTGGGGTTTCAGGTTTTGCAGTTTGGGTGGTCTAGTGATTCTCGTTTTTACTTCCAGGCTTCTTGAGAGATGAAGGTTCAAAGAGTCAACCCTAAACCTTACACCCTAGACCCCATACCCTAAACCCTAAACCCGAAACCCTAAACCCTAAACCCCATACTCTAAACCCTTAACCACAAGTTGCCAGGACGAGGTGCGGAGTTCTTGGGCACCAAATCCGTGATCTTCTCCTGCGAAGGTGCACAAGTCTGAAGGCCGAGAGGGCTGAGAACTGCGGGCTTGGGTGTACCTCTCGACCCGCAAGGTTTAGGGGTTAGGGTTTAGGGGTTAGGGTTTAGGGTTTGGGGTTTGGGGTTTGGGGTTTAGGGTTTAGGGTTTAGGGTTTAGGGTTTAGGGTTTAGGGTTTAGGGTTTAGGGTTTAGGGTTTAGGGTTCAGGGTTTAGGGTTTAGGGTTTAGGGTTTAGGGTGTAGCATTGGTAAGCTGAACACGGTAATGTGAAGAAATGCACACCAAATCACCAACCAATCACAGCTCATAGCGAGCCAAAGGTAGAGAACATTCACATGTCGCAAGGGCCTTTCTCATCGAACAAGAATCGGGTCCGGAAGCATATAAGCCCTCCGCATGCAACGAACGCTGACCCCTTCATTCAGGGGATCCACTCCCAGGATGACTCGGACCCCTTCTTCTGGTGGTTTGGGGTTTAGGATTAGGTGGTTTGCTATGGGCTTGGGGGTCATGGGTACGTGGAAGTATAGCGCATCATATAACTCATGTCAAGGTACACCTAACCCTGCCTTTGTCAACCCAAGCACCTTCACGAAGGCCGGAAAGGTACGTCTAAGTACACATGAAATTTCAAGTACTCTGCCCGTCTGCCTGAACGGAGTGGATGAGCGCCCGTACCTGTCCAGGGTTTCCATTGGGTTTGAGCGGCTGATGGCTTTTTGGCTTAAGTAGGGCTGTACCTGCGTTGGGGTCCTAAACCCTAAACCCTAAACCCTAAACCCTAAACCCTAAACCCTAAACTGCGGTTGCATCCTTGGAGCTGGCCAAGTTGAGAACTGGCCCTTGGGGTGGGGGGGGGGGGTGCAGAGCTTAGCAGGGGGTGGCATTACTTGAAGGCTCATGGCTACTGAGGGTTTAGGGTTTATGGTTTAGGGTTTAGGGTTTAGGGTTTAGGGTTTAGGGTTTAGGGTGTAGGGTTCAGGGTTTAGGGTTTAGGGTTTAGGGAAGATGCGCCACCTGTGTAGGTGACGATGGATCCAGCTGAAATGCCTTCGTCAATACAAGTCCGCGCGCCCGGCCGACTCCAATCCAACTCACAAGGGAACCAGCACGACACAGCTTGACAAGAAGACCACCTTCTTGAAGGCTCATGGGTAGCTATCTATATGTATATATATATATATAGACATATAACGGTTTTAAGGTTTAGGGTTCAAGGTTTAGGGCTTAGGGTTTAATTAGGGTTTATATATATATATATATATGTATAGGGTTAGGGTTAGATGTGCCCTAGCAAAGGCTATCACACAACGAACCTAGATCTACAGACCCTAAACCCCCACAAGCCCGACACCACAAACCATACATCTAGAGGCCTCCTCAGAGGGCTCCGCACTGAACCCTAAAAGAAGAAAAGCCCTAACAGCCCTAAAGTCCCTAAAGCCCTAAAGCCCTAAAGCCCTAAAGCCCTAAAGCCCTAAAGCCCTAAAGCCCTAAAGCCCTAACCCCCAAGCCCTAAACCCGAAACCCCATCTTTGCTTTACCAAAACATCCTAGACAGGCCTTTGGCGCCCTCAAACCCTGATATTACTGCACAATTCTACTGTTCTACCGGTAGTTCTCGAAATTAGGTTTTTTTTTTTTTTTTTTGGGGGGGGGGGGTCCTGCATATAGTACGGCACCCTTACAAGAAGGACCCTAATTAAGAGAACTACCCATCATTATTTGTTCTACTCTTACCTACTTCGTAGGAATGCCCTGCAACCCCCGAGAAAAATATTCCTAAACAGAACCCGCCCAACAATGGAAAATATGAAATATCCCAAGAGCCTACCTAGAGTCAAGGGGCTGAAGGAGGGGCCCTTATAAGGGACCTTAGGGGTTGTATTTAGGGGCTACATAGGTATATAGGGAATACATAAGGTATATCTAGGGGTTCTATAAGGGAATCGGATTCGGGGTCCCTTCTAGGGACCCTCCTTATACCCCTCAATAGAGTTCCAACGGCCTAGACCCTAAACCCTAAACCCTAAACCCTAAACCCTAAACCCTAAACCCTAAACCCTGAGTATAATCGTACACCATCAGACCAATGGCCTGGAGATCTTTCTCATCACGTCCATCGCGCGGGTCCTTCGGGCACGTGGCGCCCAAGCGGAAAGAGCAAGCAAGTGTCTGGAAGGGGCTTAAGCGAACTCTCGCGCTTTTCGGGGGTTTTTGGGGGGACCCAGAAGACCCCCAAGATTTCGTTTAGGGCTTTTGGGTGTTTTGGGGGGCTCTAGCAAGTTGCGGATTTAGGGGGCAGCTTAAGACATGTTGGGATTCGTGTTCTTGGTCTTGCCCCCGGATGGCCCGAGAAACTCCTATTCAGCTGTCGATGGCCCCTGGTCCTGATCTCCCCACATAGTGCAGATACCGTTGCCGTAGACACGACCCCACCTACATGGGTAGCTCTCTGAGTTGGGGGCCGTTTTGGGGGGGGTTTATAATACCTAGACCCTAAACACAAAACCCTAAAAACTAAACCCTGAACTCTGAACTATCTAAACTCTAGACCCCAAACACTCCACCCTATACACTCCTTTTTCAACCGGGCGCCGAGTGTCTGACAGTACCTGCTTGAGGCTTTGGGGAGGGCCTTTCCACTAGAGGGCCACGAAGGCGAAAGGCTTGTTTAGGGTTTAGGGCGCTAAGCCCTAAACGCTTGACCCTAGACCGTAAACCCACCTAAACCCCCAGCCCTAAAGGAGCGTCTGAGCCCAAGAACCGGCGCCCCTAAACTTATTTGCCACGTCACTAGGTCGGCCATTGGAACCCTCTATCTTGAACCTGAAAGAGAACATACAACAGTCGCCCTAAACCCCAAACCCTGAACCCCAACCCTAAACTCGAAACCCTAAACCCTAACCACAAACCCTCAACCCTACACCCTAAACTCTGAACCCCAAACCCTAAACCCCAAACCGTAAACCCTAGGACGGCGGATTGGATCAGCTCAGAGCTCTGGCTTCTTCGTTGTTGCGGCCTCGGCCGAAGGCCGTTTTGGTGCGTTTAGGGCTTCTTGGGGTTTAGGGTTTAGGGTTTAGGGTTTAGGGTTTAGGGTTTCGGGTTTCGGGTTTCGGGTTTCGGGTTTGGGGCTTGGACCTCTTGGAGTTAAGGGCTTAGGGTTTGAGAGCTTAGGGTTGAAGGTTTAGGCTTCTAAGGAATGGGATGTAGGGGTTTAGTTCTGGGGGCTCAAGGGTTTAGGGTTTAGGGTTAGGGTTCCGGGTGTGTCACACGCTCCGCGCACACCACCACACAAGGGCGTGTGTTTTGGTGTGCACCAAAGTTCACGTCCTCTCCCAACCCACCCATGATGACAAGTTCAGGGTCTTCATATATGTAGAGCGTGCAACCAATTGCAGAATTTCATCTAGATGACATACAACAGGAAAGCTAGCTCAAATGTCTTAAAATTTCAAGTGGTGCCATTTGATTAAAACCTAAGAAACACTTACCCTCCCCTTCCTACCTGCCTGCAGTTTGGCATGATCTTGGCATCACGTCATATAGCGATCTTCTCCATAGTGTCCGTCCCGCCACTTGACCCAGCCCTACCTTG